GAATATCCCATATACTTGGAACGATTCCTCCATAGATCCTTTCTCATTAGGGCTGACATACACCTTCGTGTACTAATCCAAACTTAGCGTTGTCTTATCTATATTTTTTTTTTTGGTGGAGAACTAATAATTAAATAATTAATTATATCATACTAATTAATGAATAATAACTTATTTTCATAATGTAGTTGGAGCCTTGAAGACATAAGACGTTACTCGATCCTTATTTTATATACTTTTATAGTTTGACAACATTATATCGCTTTAATTTATTGAGTTATTCCTTATTATGTTGTTATCGTTGCAAAATAAACTAAGGAAATAAGAAAATAGTAGCATGATTTTCTTTTCTACTTATATGGAGTATAATTTTTTTTTGTAAGTTTTTTTTTTTAAAAAAAATGATATGATTTAAATACATTAATTGGACTTATAAGATGAAAAAAAAAATTATTTTAAAATAAATGAAATAGAGAAGGCTTAAAAGAACAAAATTAAATTGTTAAACATAAGGAGGAGTAATTTCAATGAAATAGCGGCTAAGGATAATTATTTGTGACTATTGAATTACTCTCTCTCTCTCTCTCTCTCTTTTTTTCTTTTTTTTTTTTTCTCTCTCTCTCTCTTTTTTATTTTATTATTATTATTTTTTTATTTTAAATTTCACATGAAATCAGTCATTTGTCCTCCTCAAAATATAATTTCCTCCATTTGAATTTTAAAATCAAAGTTCATCGATTTTTGACCTAAAATTCAATTTAAATTTCAGATGACTTATCATTATTATTATTATCATTACATAAGATCTCAGCCTAAAATCATATGGCATGGCAATAAGAGGAGTATTCCTTATCCAGATAAATTATTTAACTTACATTCTTTTATTTATTAATGTAGGACACCCACACGTATGTATTGTTTGTGAAGACTATATGTTTCAACTAGATTGAAACGAAAAGGTGAATTATTGAATGTGAATTTATGAAACTTAGCTCGAATTTCATCAATGGCGAAAACAGAGGATTCTCACCATTGAAGCTTTGAAGAGAAATTAGGGAAGAACTAGAAGAGAGAGATATTTAGGGAATTTTTTGTAATTAGATTAAAAGAATAATAATGATGATGACAGAGTATTTATACAAGGTGTAAATAGCTATAACTTTGCTCAACTACTATTTACAACTTGATTGCTGACATGGTAGATTGTTATTACAAACTTTTGTTATGACTGACTTCTAGAATCTTCAGATGACGTGGCATTAATGCTTGAGCTTCCACCTTCACTATACTCAACAGCCCCCCGCAAACTGGTCATGGGTTAACCATGCTCGGTTTGGATAACAACTCTTGAAACTGAGCTAATGGTAAGATCTTTGTGAACACATCTTCTAGTTGGGCAGAAGTTAGCAAATAAACAATCTCCAATAGGCCCTCAAGAACCTTATCACGAGTAAAGTGTATATCTATTTCAATATGTTTAGTGCGCTCATGCTGCACTGGATTTTTAGCAATGTATATAGAACTCTGGTTGTCACAATGAAGGGTGACAGGCTTGAGATTTTTCACACCAAGCTCTTCCAATATTCTCACCAACCAGGCTACTTCACTGGCAGCAGCAAACATTGCGCGATAATCAGCTTCTGATGAACTTTTAGAAACAATGCCTTGTTCTTTGATTTCCAGCTAACTGGTGAATTGCCAAAGAGCAATATGTATCCTGATATAAACCTTCTGGAGTCCTGGCAGGCACCCCAATTAGAGTCTGAAAAGGCTTGTAGAGTGAGTTTGCTTGAACCATTCAGAAGAATTCCCTGCCCACATGTAGAAGTAACATAATGCAGGACATGTTGAAGGGCTTTGAAATGAGGAAGCCTTGGTGCCTGCATAAATTGGCTGAGATGTTGCACAGTAAAGGAGAGATCAGGTCTTGTGTTGGTAAGAAAGTTGAGTTTACCAACCAAGCACCTGTAAAAAGGAGCATCATCAAATAGATCACCATCAGTGGCATTGAGCTTCAGATGCAGTGGTAAAGGAGTGACAACATACTTGAAATTGTCAATTCTGCAGTTAGCTAAGAGTTCTTTTGTGAACTTGTTCTGAGTGAGGCAAATTCCAGCAGGCAAGTATCCAATTTCAATGCCCAAGAAATAACTCAGTTGGCCTAAATCCTTGATACTAAAGACTTGATCAAGATGAGATCTCAACTACTTGATTCCATCAAAATCATCACTAGTCAGTATAACATCATCAACATATACTGCAGCAACAGTCATTAGCCCCTTGTTCTTTCTAAGAAAGAGAGAATAATCATTCTTAGACTAAGTGAAACCCAAGGTATGTAGTTCAGACAGAAGTTTAGCAAACCATTGCCTTGATGCCTATTTTAATCCATAGAGAGACTTCATTAATCTGCAAACTTTTCCATGCCTTGCATCATATCCCTCAAGAAGCTTCATGTATAAATGCATTATTAACATCAAGTTGAAACAAAATCCAACCCTTACTAGCAGCCAAGGCTATAATGCACCTTACAGTTGCCATTTTGACTACAGGACTGAAAGTTTCTGTAAAGTCAATGCCATACTTCTGTGTAAATCCCTTTGCAACGAGCCTAGCCTTAAAACTTTCCACAGTTCCATCTGCTTTCAGCTTTATCTTGAACACCTACTTACAACTGATTGCTTTCTTTCCAACAGGGAGATTCACCAAAACTCAAGTTCTATTATCCTCCAATGCCTTGAGTTCCTTCTTCATAGATTCAACCCATCTAGGGTCTTTAGCAGCTTCAGCATAAGAAACTAGCTCAACAAGTGACTCAACTTGACAGACAAAAACATGGTATGTGGGAGGAAGATCAGAAAAACTGATCAAGTTACACCAATGACCAACAAAAGAGGTGTTGTTGCAGTAGTAGCTATCATGCCAAAATGGTGCTTTCTTTGGTCTGTTTGACTTTCTGGTAGCATCATTTGACTCGGGAATGGGAGTAGAAGAAGAAGAAAAAGAAGAAGAAGAAGAAGAAGAAGAAGAAGAAGAAGAAGAAGAAGAAGAAGAAGAAGAAGAAGAAGAAGAAGAAGAAGAAGAAGAAGAAGAAGGAGAAGGAGAAGGAGGAGGAGGAGGAGGAGGAGGAGGAGGAGGAGGAGGGGAAGGAAAAGGATTAGAAGAAGAAGAAGAAGGAGTAGAGGAATGAGAATGAGAATGAGAAGAATCAGAATTGATATCTATAAGCTGAAACAGTTCAGGAACAGAAGCATTAAATATAAGGAGTAAAATCTGTGACTATGGGAAGAAAAAATGGAGAAGGAGAAGTGTGTTTGGTGGATGAAAGATGAAAAGGAAAATGATGTTCTTTAAAAGAAACATCTCTTGAGACATGAACTGTGAAACTTTCCAAGTCTAACACCTTATACCCCTTTTGCCCTGGTGAATATCCAAGAAAGACATGTGGTGTAGCCTTAGCATCTAGTTTACTCCTTCCTTGTTTAAGGGTACTAACAAAGCATAAACACCCAAAAACTCTCATATAATCAAGGTTAGGAACAGAACCAAACATCAACTCATAAGGACTTCTATTATGTAACACTTTCAAGGGCATTCTGTTGATTATATGAGTGGCACAAAGAACACATTCATTCCAAAATTGTACAGGAACTTTGTATTGAAAATATAAATCCCTAGATGTCTCTAAGAGATATCTATGCTTTCTTTCCACCACCCCATTCTATTGGGGGGTGTCAGGACAACTTCTCTGATGAGCTATACCTTTCTGCAAGTAAAACAACTTCATATTTCCTTCACACAATTCCTGTGCATTGTCTGTCCTTACACTCTTGACAGATGCACCAAATTGATTTTCAACAAAGTTCACAAAATTTGAGAAAACTGTTGTAACATCAGATTTGTACTTCATAAAGAAAACCGTACCCGGCCCAAGTCATTCTGGAAAAGTCATCCACTATGGTCAAAAACAACTTACAACCAGTATGAGTGACTTCTTTATATGGCCCCCAAATGTCAACATGAAGTAACTGAAAAACATTTGAAGTTTTTATTGTACTAGTAGGAAAAGACAACCTAATTTGCCTAGATGCAGGGCAAATTTGAAAGAAAACATCATCTAGATTAGGTTTATGCTTATTAGAAGAGAAAATACTCAAGTTGAGAAATAGGCATGTGACCTATTCTCAGATGCCAAAGCTTGGTGTTATTTACTTCAATCTCTGAATGGGAAGCTGCTACCATGTGCTAAGCTGAACTAGAATTATTCTGGATCAAACCATCCTCCAAATAGTAAAGGTCATTCTTCAATTTACCAAGAACTTGAGGCATCATTGAAGAACTCTGAAGAATACATGTGTTGTCAGAAAACACAGCAGAACACTTCATGTCCACACAGATCTTAGGAATTGATATTAATTGAACCTAAAGTCAGGCACAAACAACATATTCTTCAGAATAATGGTTGGATTCAACTAAACATTTCCTCTATGAGTAATATGTACTCTTCTTCCATCAGGAATTGTAATATGATTATCAATTCCATTCAACTCTTCCCAGCTCACAAATAGAGACTTATCATGGCATATTTGATCAGTAGCTCCACTATCTATTATCCAACAATTAACTATAGAGGATAACATACATATTTTACCTGCCACATGAGCAGATTTGACTGTGGTGCCTGTGTCTTCAGTGTCCTGCTTCTGCTTGCTGAGGAAATCAAGATACTGCTAAGTCTATGCTGGAGCCAACACTAGTCTGCCTTGTTCATCAACAGGATAATCATGCTCACTTCCTTGAACATTTGTTGCAACTCTCTTGCCTTTATCAAACTTGAATGAAGAAGGAAAGTCATTCAACTTGAAGCACCATTGCATGCTATGTCCACGCATCTTACAGTAATCACAATAGTAATTCACAGTCCTCTTTATGCCATCAGTCCCTCTAGAAGGAGTGTTCATTCTCTGAACTTGATTTTGATTGTGTTGATGATATGAGCCTTATTGTGATCTGTTCCACCTATCTTGAAACCTTCCTCTATTCACTGCTAATGCCATGGACTCATTAGAAAAATTCATAGAAGATTCTTTATGCTCCTTATACAACTTCTTATGCTTCTCCTCTTGCATAAGAAGTCTGTATGCATGATAAATCAAAGGCATAGGTTGCATGAGCAAAATAGTTCCTCGAACCACCTCAAAGCCATCATTGAGCTTCATCAGAAAAACTACAAGCCGCTTGTCTTGTTGAGACTTAAGCATTCTTTGAGCTATATGACAAGTACAGTTTGCACAATGACACATAGGCAATGGATCTACATCATCCAACTGATCCCATAGTCTTTTGATCTTAGTATAAAAAGTAGTAGAAACATCATCCTCTCCTTGGTTAATTTCATTGATTGACTGTTCTAATGTATACAATACAGTTCCATAAGAAGCTCCATATCTCTCCCAAATTTCTCTAGCTGTACTAAAATATAGCACAGACCTAGCCAAATTTTGATCCAGGACTCCTAGAATCCAAGAGATTATCATACTGTTACACCGTTCCCAAGCCTTCAAGGAGGTTGAGTCAGGTGCTGGTTTAATAATTGAACCATCCACAAAACCTAGTTTGTTCTTAGCTAACAAACTTATGTGCATTGACCTCTTCCAATCACCATAACCAGTACCATTAAACTTCTCAGACACAAGTTTCATACTAGGACTATCAAAAGGATGTAAGTAAAAAGATGAAATAGGATCTTGAGAAGGATCTACAATACGATTGCCTGAATTCTCCATTACTACAATTAATCAAGCTACTATGAACAATCAATCAACATAATCAACAAATTCGATTCAATCAACAATCAAACCACAACTTCAGATCAACTCCAAATTATCACAATACGAACTAAGAATTCAATTATGAAGAACGTAAATCGATCGAAGAACAAAGAAGACTGAGGTAAGATTCAACTGACCACAAATTCTGAAAATCTAATCGAACAAATTCGCGAAGAACGAACTGCGAATCTTGAAGAGAGTTATGAACAGCACGCAATGATTGTGAAGCACAGTGAGCTGTTTCGGCTCTGATACCATGTGAATTTCCGAAACTTAGCTCGAATTTCATCAATGGCGAAAACAGAGGATTCTCACCATTGAAGCTTTGAAGAGAAATTAGGGAAGAACTAGAAGAGAGAGAAAATAGAGAGAGAGATATTTTGGGAATTTTTTGTAATTAGATTAAAAGAATAATAATGATGATGACAAAGTATTTATACAAGGTGTAAATAGCTATAACTTTGCTCAACTACTATTTACAACTTGATTGCTGACATGGAAGATTCTTATATCAAACTTTTGTTATGACTGACTTCTAGAATCTTCAGATGACGTGGCATCTTGAGCTTCCACCTTCACTATACTCAACATTGAACAAAGGGATATTAACATATGGATTAATATATATATGAGTCTGAACTTAATTAGGATGTGAAAAAACTAGTCAAGAACCCGAATAGTTTCCTCAAGGTACAGAATGAGACTGCCCTGCACCTCAGTTTAACGATTGAGAAGCTTTCAATGTTATCTACAACAATGCCTAATTTTATTCTTCATGGCTAAAAAGTAACAACATACCATTTCAAAGGACAATAAATTCTACGAGAAGAGAGGCCAAGGAATGTACAGTACGAACATAAACAAGTAACGGGCTATATATATGATCTCTAATAACTTCGTACAGATCAAAACAAAATGATTTTTGATCTAATTGAACCATCAAAATTTATTTTAAAGTTTTGAATAATTAATTTGTGCAAAAATTGCGTAACTTTATGTTTAGAAAAGTTTAGTTAGGAGAGTTACTATATCCGTTATATATTATGTGCAACTGTGCAACTGTGCAACAAAAAAAACATATTATGTGCAACTTTTGGGTATTATTTGTGAGATATACAAAATTTAAAAATTGCATATAATATGTAACGGAGGTAGTAGTTAGGTGATGAGTAATTGAGTACCACTAGCTAGAAGATGATTACATTATTGTAGTGAAATGGCATACACGCCATATAAATAGTGCAATATATACCTTTATATTTAATAAATCCACGAGCATTGCACAAGCACAATACACGCATTAATCTTATTAATCATATATACCAGCATATTCTGTTAATGACGGGCCAAGCAATTTTTTTTATTTGCCTCAATGTATTTTTTTAGTGGTGTAAAACGATGATATCACTTTCCCGCTCTCTTTTGATAAAATTACTATTTATTAACTTTATGAATCTTATATATATTTTTTTTAGGAAAATTAGTCTATTTTATCACTTTGTATTCTTCAGTGCAAATAAATTTAATACATTATGTATTCATATGCATGTCCCTATAAAAATGTCTACATAGTCGATCCAAGTGAAGAAGAGCTCAAAACACCTTATTAGCTTGCTTGTTACTAAGGAATAAAGTTTGAACTTTTAAGGAATCACACCAAATTATTCTTAAAAATTATTCGAAATAATGTCTTCAATTTGCCCTACTTATTTAGGATGGGATTATCCTATAGAATTAGGTACAATTCAAGGTTTTAATAATGTCGACTTACATTCTGTATTTCTTCTAAATTTTTCATCATCTCAATCTCAAGATTACCAATATCAAGTGTATGATCATGTTAGGCGAAGCGAATCACCACAAGGTACAAGCTCAACAGATGTTAAGCGAAGTGATTTGCCACAAGGTACAAGTTCAACAGATCATTTATTTGATAATAATCCAATATCATTATCCAAGAAACTCAATCATAATGCAAGTGAACGAGTTCGAAGAAAGAAGATCAGCAACTTGTATTCTTCTCTACGTGCTTTACTTCCTTCTTCTGATTCTAAGGTACTTGATTGTTATTATCAATTAGTCTCTAATAATCTTATTAATTTTCGGTCCCTAAATTATTATTATTTCACAATTTGTATTGATTGTACAATTTTATCTATTATAGAAAAGACTAAGCATTCCAGGGACAGTTATACGTGTAGTTGAGTATATACCGGAATTACAAAAAGAAGTGGAGAATTTAATTAGTAAGAAGGAAGAACTTTTATTAAAAGTTTCAACAATTCAACGAAATGCAATGGAAATTATCCGAGAGGAAAAACCCATGAATAAAAATTGTATGATCAAGGATACATTTTCGGGTTCGATTTCTTCGAATAAAATGGGTGAAGAAATGGTGATCCAAATTTCAGCATTCGAGAGAATATCATTATCTGAGGTGCTTGATCTGCTTGAGAAGAAGGCTTATCTTGTTATTGGTATTTCTTCTTTTCATTCTTTTGGAGGAAGAACTTTTTACAATATACATTTATGGGTAAGTTACCTTAGTTTATTGTTAAATTTTATATAGTTTTTACGTACTTTTCTTCATGCTATATTTTTGGTATGCACCCTTTAGTCAATTGTAAAATATTAAACTTTACACCGTAATTAAGATTTTGTCGTGTAAATGTTAAAGATTAATTAGTTAAGTTATTAATATTTTACAAACTATCACTTTATCTAATAAAAAAAAAATTCTCTTCATTTCTATGGCTTCGTTTCTCATTTTAAAACTAGATCACCTATAAGCACGCAAGATACCAATTGTTATATATAATAGATCAATGTCCTTTTCAAGATGTTGATAATTACCTAATCTCGATTTAACTCTATGTAACTAACTGTTATGATTATATATATACTCCGTAGTCCATAGATATATGATTAGGGGATTTTTATCCACCAATCACCGTCTGACAAGTGGACCAACCAGGTTCCGCCACGTGTCCTTCACGTAGGCCAATAGGAGCCTGCCACGTGTCAATCACAGATACGTCCTCTACGGACCAATTGAGACACGCCACGTGTCCACCCATGCCAAATGGGAAAACCGGCCAACAAGGCCCAATCCTGTCTAGAGGCCCGGTCAGCCCTAGGTTTACCCTAAACCTAGAGAGTGACACGCTTCTCAAGACTATAAATACTTAATTAATCCTCATTAATTAAAAAAATCAAGCAAACATCAAGCAATTAATCTCACCTGGAGAACAGGACAGAAACATTACGGAATACTAATAACCGGCTAATCTCGCTAACAACGCAGATTACCAACATTAAACACTCTCACCTAGAGAGATCTTATTACTTTAATTTCCGTATTAATTACTCCTTAATCAGGTACTAACTTGACCGTTGGAGGCGGAGCTCTCAGGAGTCTCCGTTATTTTGCAGGTACAGGCGTCCGGTTCCAGTCTCGGAATTGTAACTCTCCCGCAGGACATCAGAAAACCCCGAAACATTTGGCGCCGTCTGTGGGGAGAGTACTTCAGAGATGGCATCCAAGTCTGTACCGACTCCTGAAGAGAGGCGTCCCCTAAACGACCCTCAAGTTCAGTCGGACCATGACACCGAAAGTGAATTTGAAGTTGAAACTCATACAGCTCCAGACGGGACCCTAAGGGCCCGACGTACCCGTCATACCGAAAGGAGGGAACGGGAGCATCTTCAAACAGGAAGTGAGCCAGCAGGCGCACCGCCTGCTCGGCAACAGCCGACTGATGGGTCTGCTCCCATCACAAGGAACGAACTCATGACCTTCATGAGGGACTTCAAGGGAGAGATCCAAGAGTTGATCAACAAGAAGCCGCCTGCTTCAGTCAAGGAGCAGTCGGCCAAGAAGCCTTCCACTTCACAGAAGAGGAAGCCAGTTCAAGGGCGAGAGGCGACTCCTCATCCTAAATCTAGGAAGCGGGAGCCACCTGCCCTTGATTTCACAAAATTCCGTTATCCTACAGGAAATAGGAAACCGGTTCGTCATATTCAGGCGGACGGGTCAAAGCAAACGTTCACAGATGCTCGGCTACTGCTAGAGCAGAAGAAGAGTGACCGATTGTCAGAGTCGGCTTCTACTTCAAATTTTCAAGACAGTTTGCGAAATGCCTCGATGAGGCATACTCAGTCGTACCATGAGAGTCAGTCAGGCGGCACCTCCCGTCAGTCCGGCTTTCATAGTGCCCAGGCGGTACCAAACCTACCATTTGTGCCGCAACAACAGTATTTTATGCAGCCACCTCCATTTGGTGGACCTGCAGCAAAAAACGTCCAACCTATGGACTGGCAGCTACGGTTGCTTAGACTTGGTGAACAGCCGTCGGCCTTCTCCAAGGAAATTACTGACGCCGCTCAGCCGGCCAAAGTAAAAAATGTACTAGTAGGCGCCTATGACGGTACTACTAACCCAGAAGACCATCTGATGGCATTCACCAACCTGATGTACCTTCAAGGGTTGGATGATCCCACTTGGTGCAAGTGTTTCCCAGCGACTCTCAAGGGAATCGCACAGCAATGGTTCGGCAACCTGCCGACTGGTTGTGTAAACAGCTTCAGGACGCTTGCTTACTTATTTGCCTCCAACTTCGCCATGAACATCCCTGCGAAGAAAACGACCCTTGATTTGGGAACAATTCAGCAGGACGAGAAGGAGGGGCTTCGTTCTTACATCAGGCGGTTCAACCTGATGAGAATACAGATTCAAGGGTTACCGGATGAGGTAGCTTATACTGACTTTTTTAGAGGTCTCAAAGACGGGTCTACCTTCAAATTTGATTTAGTTCGAAAAAGGGTGGCGACTCTTCAAGAGGCCTTGATTGAAGCAGAAGCCTATATACAGGCAACTGATCTGTGTACAATAAAACAGTCGGATGGGAAAAGGTTCGACAAAAGAGAAGGACGACAGAAACAGTCGTCTAACAAAG